CTGTGGGCTAATGCATCAGACTGCAAAGTTGTTTGAACTGCAAGGTCAGTGGTTCAAGCTCACCAGCTGCTCCTTGGAAACCCTATACAGGGTCGCTATGGGTCGGAATCGACTCGACAGCACTTAACAACAACAACTAATACTCTGTTATGTAGAACTGTGGTTATTCATTCACTGGTAGAATTTTGGAGATTCTGAGATGCTCACTTTTCCTTTTTTCTATCTTCAGAAATACGTCAAACAAGTCTGTGAGGATGTCTTCTCAGACCACTTGAACTCTGCTGTGCAGATGGCCGGACTGAGATTGTTAACAAACATGACTGTTACCAATGACCACCAGCATATGTTTAGCCGTTACATTGCCGACTTCTTCCGTATATTGCTTAAGGGAAATGGAAACACCAAGGTATGAAGCAGTTATTACTTGAAGTTCAAAAGGCTATTGCATCAAACTTAGAGTTAAAACTGAATTTCTAGGTCATCTATCTTAAGTTGATATCCCTCAAAAAAAGAGGAAGGTTAATCAAGGTTTATTAAAACCCTCATTTGGGTCTCAGGTGGCTCTGTAGGTTAATGCCCTGGACTACAGAGTCAGTTTAAGCCACACGTTTGGCCGTTCAAGCTCACCAGTTGCTTCTCAGAAACCCTATACAGGGTCACTGTGAGTTGGAACTGACTCAGTACCACTTAACAACAACAGTGGGCCCAAGGGAGTAAATGTTTTCTCCTAAAATTTTGAATTTAACTTTAAACTTAAAGTTAACTTGTGAAAATCATGTGTTGATTTCATATTTCATTTATTTGGTTTTCTGTGAATAACTTTAGCTTTTACTTTTACTTTATCTCCCAGCTGGACTGCTAGCCATAAGGTCAGCAGTTCAAACCCACCAGCCACTCCTTGGAAACCCTATACAAGGTTTTTAATGAATCGGCATTTAACTGCAACAGCAGATACAGAAACACTGTGGTTAACTCACAGTTGTGAGTTGGAAATTGTATCTTGTTTTATATGTTTTCATAGTAAATAATCATCAAAATGAATTTTAAAAATGATGTTTTGCTTTAAAGCAGTGATCTGACTATAGTGTAATAACCTTTTGCATAAACCATTGATTTATAACCAAATACAGTGACGGTTATTATAAATAAATCTTAGGCTTTACACATTTGTAATGAAAGTAAATAAAACTATGGCTTAAAATAAATGTCCTGTAGTCACCACAAGATGGCACATGTGACAACAGAAAAAAAAGCAGAGGACTTAATATGATTTCAAACCAAAATATATATTTGTTTAATCAATAGTTGTATTCTAACTTTATGTGTTTAGCCTCATGATTCACTGTCTAATGCAGTTTACCATCCATTGCCATTGAGCCTGCTCCAAGTCATGGCTATAGGACCAAGTGTGTTAGTAGAACTCTACTCTGGAAGGTTATCAGGGGCTGATTTTGTTTTCTTCAGATCATGAAGCTTTTCTAAGGAGGCACCTCTAAATAAATTTGAACCTCCAACCTTTATGTTAGCAGCCAGGGTCATTAACTCTTTGTACCCCACAAGGATTCACAATATTCATAGTAACCCACTATTGATTGAGTCTTGGTGGCCAAACTGTTCCAAAGTTGCATATTTTAAGTAGAAATAATCTAAATTTAGAGAGATTCCTTTTTCCTCCCTTAAGATTCTGTTTACATAATATAAATGCTAAGACTGATTCTAGATGTGTTAAACTTCTTGCATGCAGAGCGTTGTTACAGGTAAGATGTATTCCGCCAATCTGCTTAACAGTCTTAATGGGAAAATAAGGTTGAAACCACACTGCTACATGACAAGCGCTCTGAGAGCAGTGCCAAGTGCCGAGAGAGAGACAGAGAGTGTCTGACAATTAAGTGACATCAATTGAAAAGGTTTCATGGGAGGACAGAATTGGAGCCAGGCCTTGAAACATAGGCAAGATTTTAGAAAGTGGGCATGGCATGCTGAGAGAATCCCTGCCAGGAAGAGAAACTGTATGCCTGTTGGTCTGAAATAAAATATTTCTTCTTATTTCAGGTTCAAGTTTTAAAACTGCTTTTGAATTTGTCTGAAAACCCAGCCATGGCAGAAGGACTATTCAGTACCCACGTAAATAGCTTGCATATTTGTTTTGTAAATGCACAAATATACAGATTTGGACCTATAGATAAATCTGGAAAGCTGCCCTATAGAGATAATAGTTATTATCTCTAAGGAATAATTATTAAAGGTGTTTCATTTTGCATATGTAAATTTCCTAAATTTTCTATAGTGAATTTATACCATATTTTTGGCATATAATGTGCCTATGTAAGTAATGCACACATGCATATAATAAGCATAGCACTCATAGGAAACTAAGGCTCAAAGGGGGATTACATGGTTTGATGCATCATTTGCATTAAAATCCAGTGTTATCTTTTTCCTTTAGAAAAAGTATTAGCAAAAATAAATTCGACCTTTCCGTACCTAACTTTGGACACACTTATCTCATTACATCATTAATACTTGGCCTTTTTGTTCGTAAACATCTGAGACATCCACCAGTATTTACTAAGTACTCAGTATGTACCAGACACTGTGTTGAGTGCTGGCTCATATGAGGGGGGTTCAGAAAGTTTGTGGAAAAATTAAAAGATTAAAATTTTAAAATATCAATTTAAACATAAGCTCCATCAAGGTCAAGACATTTTTGTAAGATGATACCAGCCATTTAGTCTGTCACTAAAGAACTAGGACTTTAACCAGGTCATTGACTAAAGAAAAATGGGTTCCTTTTAAAAAATAATTAATTAATTAAGAAACAAAAAGAAGTTGGAAGGAGCCAAATCAGAACTGTTAGGTAGATGCCTAATGGTTTCCATGAGAAGTCTCAGAGAAGTGCCCTTGTCTAGTGAGAGGAATAAGCAGGAACATTGTCATGGTGGAGGACTCTGGGAAAGCTCTCCCAGATGGGTGCTTTTCTGCTAAAGCTCTTTCTCAGTACACTGTCATAACAAGCAGATGTTACCATTCTTCGACCCTTCAGAAAGTCAACAAAATGCTTAGAGCATCCCAAAAGAAACTATTGTCAGCATGTTGGCTTTGACTGGACCAATCCCACCTCTCGGTAGCCATTGCTTTGATTATGCAGGATGGTACTAGTAAAGCCATGGTTTATCTCCTGTTACGATCTTCCAAGAAAGGCTTCAGGATCTTGATCCCACTGGTTTACAATATCCATTTGAAAGCTCTTGGCTTTGTCTCCACATTTGGCATTTATCCAGCAGAAAGTTTGTTCAACTTTAATTTTGCACTCAAAATTGAGCCAGTTGAGATGTCTGTGGTGTTGGCTATTGTTTCTGCTGTTAGAGGATGGCGGTTCCTTTCACTTAGGACCTGGAAAAGATTGTTTCCTTGCAAATTGATGTGGATGGTCTGCTGCTGCGGGCTTCATCTTCAACATCATATTAACAGAATGATCTATTTGTAACTGCTGATTTCTCTGGGGGCATTGTCCCCATAAGCTCTTTTGTGAAGCATCAGTGATTTCACCATTTTTCTGCCTCAAACTTCACCAATAAATTTGATGTTTGTTCGTGTTTCAGTTTTAGCATAATTCATGCTGCTCTGATTGGGGCTCTTTTTAAACTGATGTTTTATCCTTCTAAATGCCTCAAACTGGATCCTGCTCAGACATGTTCTTTTGGTACAAAAGAAAAAAATTAAATCCATGCAGTTTTTTCCACAATCATTTCCCATAACTTTTGAAGAGCCCTCACATTTGAATACATGACATAGTTCTTGTCCTCATGAACCTTACAGTCTGGTGGAAAAGACCCAACAGTATGTAACAAACAGGTAATTAAAAGCTATGAGTAGTGTTCTGAAGGAAGCAGAGTTGTTGCTGACAGAGTAGACCACAACTCCTAAAGAAAAGGCTCCCATTTCTATTCATTCTCTCATCTCCATTTTCTAGTCTTGACCCCAGTGTATGTTTGATGAATTAGTAAGTTTTTATGAAAACTGTATTAGATTTTAAACAGAAAATGCATGTTCTTCCAAATATCCACATTCTGTGATTCCAAGTACATAATAATTTTCAGCTAAAAGGCAAAACCTTTTTTCTATTAGTAATACAGTGTAGGGCTACATTGCTATTTACACGTTAAATTGTACTACCTTAGGGATAATTTTCTACAAGATTTTTGAATACTTAATGTAGCTTTAGAATGAAAATATACCCGCAAAGTGTTTTCATATGTTAATAAAATAATCCTCATTGTTTCCTGTTTCAGGTGCATCCATCGTTCCTTTCTCTTTATGATGGCCGCATGGCAAAGGAGATTCTTCTTCGAGTACTTACACTATTCCAGAATTTACATAACTGTGTCAAAATAGATGATGGTTTAGTTCTTAGGTCTTCTGCCATCTTTCATAAAGATTCATTGTTTTTCTTGTTATATGGACAAGAATGTGCCCAGAGAATGAGAGCTTTAGCTCATCACCCTGATGTGGATGTGAAGGAAAAAGTTTTACTAATAACGTAAATCTGATTGGCCATGTTTCCAGAATATAATACAGTCTGGAAGCTATACACATTATAAATTCATTTTCCACCTTCCTTATAAAACAAAAGGAGTCTTTCAGCTGTTGAATTTAAACAGTAAATATCATGTTTCATCATTAACACAGCTACAACTTGCCATGGTCTCCCAAGTTTATTTTGGAGCATTTTATTGATACAAAATGAGTATTAGTGATTCTACTGATGAAAACCTTTCTTTCTTTTGATTTTGTCTAGTTTGAGATATTCTCGTTATTTCATCTATATGAGATAACAATGACTTTTTTATGCTTCAGCTGCCCTTCTGTCATTTGTAGTGTTTTGCAGTTAGGAGGGCTACCCCCCTATATGCAGAGAACATCTGTTCAATTGGGTTCTGATGCTGTGACCTTCCGGAAGTAGATTCCCCCAAGCTGTCTTCCGAGACCCCTCTAGATGGATTTGAACTGCCAATCTTTCGGCTGGTAGTTTAAGGACCATCCAGGGACTCTGAGGACAGGAGTATGCCATCCATTCGTTGTTTTAGACCTGCATGTGAACGGCACCATTCTCCTCACAGTAATGAGATCCTGAGCCCTCAAGTCCAACAGCCAATCTAGCCATTTTGCTGTCACAAATCTGTTCCAGTCATTTGTGCTTCTATTCAATGAAAAATGTAAATTTTTAAGAGAAAGTATTTCCTGGTACTTGCTCACTCCCCCTCAATGTGCCAGTATGTAAAGATGTTGTGCATAAAATACCAGGATTAATCAAAGTGTTTGCCCATCCATAGGCAGTTGGGTAAATCAGTCGCTCTATCTTTAACAGGAATGAAGTGCCTCTGAATGTGCCAGTGGAGAGACACCTGTGAAATATTGTTATTTTCTATAACATGCTGACAAGATGTATAATGAAATCCCACTTGTTGTTTTTAAAATGAAAAGTATTTATGTTTATAAATAAATTGAACACTTCCAGAATGATAATGCAAACTCCTGGAAGTGAGCCTGGGGAGTAGGGAAATGATTTGTCTATACATACTCTCTTCTACTGTTTGAATTTTTTACTATGAGCATAAATTTTATGATAATTTTTTTAAATAAAGACAAAAAAAATTGCAAGGTTATATACATATTTCTTCCATTGGTAATATTTTATTCATTTTATCCATATTTTACTGGACTAAAATATTAATATACTTCCACAATTAACATTTTTTAAATTTCAGAAGCTACTATAACAATTTACTGGTATATTTGAATTCAGCCAGGATTGATAATATGAAAGTTCATAACCCCCAGCATGCTCAGCAATAAGTAAATCAACAGGCAAGCAAAAACTTTGCTACTCAAATGTATTTAAGGCAAAGCTTTAGAATACTTCAAACTTTCATTTATAAATACATGTTTACAAGACTGTTTCCACAGGAAGTCATAGATCCTGCAACAGAAAAATGTGTGTTCTCAGGGGTATCCTGACACAGAAATCACACTTTTGAGGGAATATTTTTACAGTATAAAAAGGCTCAATATAAGGTGAAAATTGACAATTCTTAAGGGGCTGGAACAGTAAAGAACACATGATAGCTAAGAATATTTTTCTGTATTGGTGATAGAAACAGAAGTATTAATTCCCTGAAAGGCACATTTCTTTATAACTCTCTTTCTTAAACTGCCTCCTTGTTTAATGAAAAAACTTATTTAAAATGTGCACACATTACAAATCCTGAACTGGGCTGCTTTGTGCCTTTGCAGCATTGGATTCTAAAATTCCATCTCTTTTTTCCCTCTCTTCTCATTAATTTGAATGTCCTCATTCACAAATCTCATTTCCTAGGATTCAGAGTACTAAGGCCAACATGTCAAAATGCTGGGTTTAAAGAAGAGTAATTTTTAACTACCACAAAAGAATCACATGGTAGAAATGCACAAACAGGTCCCTAATGTATTAGTGCAAGTCATGGCACATCTTAGCTTTCACTAATGGGACTTTTCATTGAAGGACCCACAAAATGCCCTGTTTCTACAAGGAGTAAGGGAACTTTTACTTTTTGTATCCTGTGGATTGATTATAGATGCTTAGCTAGCTGAAGAAAATGAAATTGACTTAAGAGGATATGAAAAACTAAAGGGTATCAGTGCATATTAGGGTGAACTGACAGAAAATGGATTTGTCTTATATATCTTCACATTCACAAAAACCTTCAAAATGTAACAAGTGAAAAATACAATGGTAACTGACTAACAGGGTCAGGAGATAAAGCCTCATGTACTTTGAACATGGGTCTTAATGACTAAGGTCAATATAGAAATAACAATTTAAAAGTAGCTGGTCCCCCCTCTAATAAACTCAAAGGGAACACATATGCAGGCATGTAAGCTTGAAAGAGGGTGAAAGGCAGCAATGAGTTCAACCACGGTCCATTGACTCATTGACCTGGAAATTAGAAAAGAGGAAGGACTGGTTGGTCCAAAGTGTGGTGAGACCTGAGGACACCTGAACAAGGCCATAGCTACAGAGGGCTAGAGCTGAGAGTGAAGCATCCAGCTGATATAAAGTGAGGGAAGATGCACAAAAACAGCCAAACTTGCAGATAGCCTCAGTGGCTTGATAATCAGAACTCGACTAGAAGAACATTGGGGGAAAAAAAAAAAGGATAAAGGAAACAAAGGTAAATTGCTACAATTTAATAAACCTGATCTATACTCTTGGAGGTAGTAACTCTAAATACCAACACAGAGGGAAGGAGTCTTCACATCAAGTATCAATGCTATCCCCCTCTTAGACACTGGCTACCTAAAATGAGGGGGCGATAAAGGCACAAAGTGACTGGCTTCACAAGGTTTCAAGAGGGAGTTGAGTTTAAGAATGTGGGGGGGAAGAAAGAGTCCCCACTGAATAGTTTTCATCTTGTATAGATGGGTCTGGTTAAAAGAGATGGGGATAAGATTCTTATGATTCAATAGTAATTGTTATCATGACTAATTGCTATAGTCACAATTGTAGTTTTGTAAAAAATGGGGGAGCAGTTAATCTTACAGTCCAGAAACAAGGACCCACAAAGCAACATGCAAGATCTTATCCAGAGAAGCAGCGACACCAGAGATGGAGACAAAGATGGGGACATGGAGAGGGGATGTGACTGAGGACTCTTAGATTCATGAGAAGAGAGGGACTAAGAGATAGTGATCAGGAGGCAGACTTGCAGAATGTGCCCTTTGGTGGTGTAAATTATTATATATGCCTGAGTGTTAAAAAAAAAAAAGCTAAAGTGAAAAGAAATACTGTTAACTGATGGTACATGGAGGGGATTATAATCATTGTAATGAAACAAAGTGTATGATTTGTTGAATGCAAAACTAAAGATCTGCCCTGTAAACTTTCACTCAATCCACAATAAAAACTTAAAGAAAAATAATAAAGTGAATAGAGGTTTAAAAAAAAAATGTAACTGGTGAGGAGGTCTACTAGAAAATGAGGCAGGTCCAATTAAGTGGAACTAGAACATGACAATTTAAAGTGCATAAAAGACCCTCAGTTAAATGGAACATGTCAGTACAAAAATAAGGCTATTCATGGAGAAGAAATCCTTAAGATCTATTTGGTTTGCATCGAGCAGAGGTACAACATGAATTTTTAATTCAATATGCAGCAGCAAGGGTGACTACAAAAATTGCTAGTTTGGGGGCAATGTTCCCCAAAATTAACCTACCACTAACCTAGCATCTTAATTCATATCCATTTAAATATTCCCTTGGAGTAAAAAGTTCATGCTTATAAAATTTTTTTCCTGAAATTTTACTTTATGGGAAATTTGTGCTTTAGTATCCAGAAGTCACATATATCATACATATATCTTATATACAGGAGCCCTGGCATGGTGCTGTGGGTTAAAGATCAGTTTGAACTGCATGGTCGGTGGTTCAAGCTCACCAGTGGCTCCTTGGAAATCCTATACAGGGATGCTATGAGTTGGAACCGAGTCAACGGCACTTAATAACAATCGGGTATACAGTCTCCCTTGACTGATTTGCTTCCTTATAAAAAGGCTAGATTTAGATAAAGATAATTTTAATGTATTTTGGTATTACTCTCCAAATGTACAAAGTGACCTAAAGCTGTTAGTCTTCAATGTTTAGTGTCCTAATATATATGCTCAGAGTCTTGGTGTGGCACTGTGGGATAATGCACTGGACTGTAAGGTCAGTTTGGACTGCAAGGTTGGTGGTTCAAATTCACTAGCCGCCCCTCGGTAACCCTATACAGGGTCACCATGAGTGGGAACCAACTCGATAACACTTAACAATATATGCTTAAATTTGCAACAGGAATAACACATTATCAAAAGCTTTATCTTTTTTTTAAGTTTTCAAATTTACCTGTCTATATTAGGCAGTGGTATCCTAAGAAGTCTTATTTTTCTCCTTTATATTTTCAAAGTACTTTCTAAAAAAATTGCTATATATTCTTCACAGTTTTCAGAGGTAGATCAGAATCATCCTCTTGTTACACATGAGGAAACTGAGGCACAGTGAGCCTAAGTGACTTGTTTCCCAATATGCAAAAAATCCAACCTAAAAGCAAAATTAAAATTCAGACCTGGTGGCTGGTGTGCAGCATGCAGTCACATGCATGCAGATATCCAGTATGTAGCATTTAGTGTTGTCTACTTTGATTATTCTGTGCAAATAAAAGGTTTCACTAAGATTATACAGGTCAGTGAGAGAAAATGAGCCTCTACTAACAGCTAATGCAGCTCCCTCATGTGAACCTTGTTAGTCAATTCCAACCCACAGCAACCCCAGAGGGCAGGTAGGACTGTCTCATAGGGTTCCCAAGGCTGTAACATTTCCAGGAGCAGATCACCAGGTGAATACAGATCCTTGTTGTTAGGTGCCACTGAGTCAGTTCTGATGCATACCAACCCTGTGCACAACAGAACAAAAAACTGCCAGTCTGGTCCATCATTAGGACTAAAATTGAGGTGAAATGAATCCCTGAATCACAATTTTTTACCACTAGTTTTTATACTGGCCAGAGACCTGGTGTGGCACTATAGAAAAGCACTGGACTGCTAAACACAAGGTTGGTGGTTCAAACCCTCCAGATACTCCTCAGAAACCCCATACTGGATTGCTATAAGTCAGAACCGACTCTACAGCACTTAACATCAACAACAATAAAAGGTAGCTTAGGTTCTGGAGACTTTTCACTCACTGTAAACCTGTAAGACAAAGCAAAACTGCCTCTGTATGGTTTTCTAGGCTGTACATTTTACAGAAGAAGATGGTCAAGTCTTCTTCCCATGGAGATGGTGGATGGGCTCAAACCTCCAATCTTTCAGTATGCAATCAAGCACTTAACCACTGTGCTACCAGAGCTCCCTGAATCATGGATAGTTCTTTACCATAAAAATATATCTGAATTCTGTAAAACGATATATTTATAAAATATATCTTATTGATATATTTAGAGTTAGATATAAGAAACAAAATAAGTGCATAGGGAGAAAATGGAAAGACTGAAATGTAACTCAGACAAGAGGCCCTGTTGACAGTGGTTTAAGCATTTGGCTCCTAACCAAACCGTAGGCAATTAGAACCCACCAGCTACTCTGGAAGAGAAGGATGTGGAAGTCTACTTCAACAAACAGTCTTAGAAACCCTGTAGGGTAGTTCTAGATGAGTCCTAGAAAGGGACATCAAGTAGGGTCAAAGCAGTGGGTCAACAAAAAAGAGGACGGACCAACACAGAGGCAGCAACAGTGGGCTTAACCATGACACTTGCAAGGATGACAAAGGACTGGGCAGTGTTTGGTTCTGCTGTACCTAGGGTCGCTATGTGTCAGAATACTTGACGGCACTTAACAACAACTCTGTCCTTGAGGATTAATTATGAGTCAACTCACTGGCAATGGTCTGATGGATCTATTAACAGTTAAGACCAGCATTATCTTGGTAAAGTATTATTTCCTCATAGCTATGTTTGTGCTTAGCAGATCTGACTTTTAGATTAAAAATAGAAAACGTTTTAAATTATGTTGTTACAACCACATTCTTTCCCTTCCTCTGGTTAACTCAGAGAGCATTTAAGTTGGGGGTTCTAGATGTGCATCAGATACGCTGTCCCCCTCTTTGAAAGTTAATTCTCTTTAAAAATGGTGACTTAGCCAAAACCCCTATGTCCCTATATTTTTATGCTTTAAAAAAATCACTTAACATTTGACATATATTCTAATATTGTCTGAAAACATGGGGGAGTGGATTTCATCAATTACTATAACGTTAAATATAAGAAATATATTTATATCAATGTGCAGGCCTCTAAAAAAACTTTAGTGGATAGTCTTAACTACTCTGTGCAATCCTGATGAATAGAATATGAATGAGTCTTTAATATATTTTTCATAACCTCAAAAAATGCAACTAGAACTAAAGTAGAGTGCTTTAGTAAAGAAATTTCTATTGCAACATTTAATACCATTGATAACAAACAAAATCCACTGTTAAAAGTCAATTTTGACTCATAGTAATCCAATATAGTTTCCAAGGCTGTAACTCTTTAACAGAGCAGAAAACCTTGTATTTCTCCATCAGAGCAGCTGGTGGATTTGAACTTCCAACTATGCAGTTAACAGTCCAGTACTTATCCTATAGTGCTACCAGGGCTCCTTTTATCACGGATAGAAGATTTAAAATCTTTATTAACTAATTCATTATTTAAATCACCCACTCATATTCTTTGATTATATAAACTGGCAATCATACTTAAGTAAGCAAGTTATTTTAAAAGACACGAAACACAATCTTGCTGAAGTTATTTCCAAATGTAAAAAATTATTATGCTGATGAATTAGCCTTTTCATTTGTTTTTCAAATTCATATCAGATATTTCATTAAAAGCCCATATACCCATATTTATTCAAAGTTTTCACTGTCAATATTTAGATATCTTGATTCTCCGTGATTCAAGACAAAAAAATCTTCAGTGTTAAGTCCATATCTTTCCAGAGCTTCGTGCAGTTTCACTCGAGGCTCTAAGTAATGCTGACAAAGAGAAGAAAAAAAGGAAAAAAATTAAGCATACATATATTTCAAGGTTATCGTAAATAAAATTTCACACTAAAATACTCAATATGTTGTTGTTAAGTACCGTGGAGTTGGTTCCGACTCATAGTGACCCTGCACAGGGTTTCCGAGGCTGTAAATCTTTACGGGAGCAGAATGCCTCATCATTCTCCCGCGGAGCGGCTGGTAGTTTCGAACTGCCGACCTTCAGGTTAGCAGCCCAATTCATAACCACTACGCTACCAGAGCTCCTTATAATATTCAATATACACCTACTTAAAACAATATACTTTCTTTCCACTGAAATATGAGTGAAGGAATCAATCACATTTTCTGTTACACACTGAGTCATTAACTGTTAAGTCAAGAGAAAGGTAAGTACTTATCATCCCACCCAAACACGAGGTACGTCAAATCTACTGCCATCTTAGAATGAATACTAGGTTACATCACATCAGATCACTATATGAAATTCCAGTCTTAATGGAATCCACACCAAAGATAATAATAGAGAAAAATGTTACCAAAATTTTGAAGAATAGCAATGTGAGATTAAGTGTGCACTCATTTATAAGCAAAAGTTGGAGCAAATATTTCAGGGCTGAAGAAAAAAGTTATTATCCTCAAAATCTCTAGCCAAATGTAGACACTGTGAGACAGACGTAAGGAATCGAAATAAGACAGTGTTCCCTTACTTCCCTTGACTTGCTCCCCTTCTTGTATCTAAATAAAGTGTGACAACAGCACAGAGGATGTATCATATGCTTTCCAGAAAACATGGACTATGGAATAGGGCAGTTATTAATAGAGAAACTTAAAAAAGGAAAGAAATTATTTTATCAGTTATTTTTCTTTACATTGTATGTTATTTTTTTCTTTACTCAGAAGGTTTTTTCTTCCCAATTTCAATTAGACGAGTTACACAATGTTGAAGTACTGCGCAGCAATAAAAGTCAAGCTGTCTGATGTATCACCAGCCTCTCTCTTCATGCAACAAATTATCTTTTGAGTGCCTACAGTGTGTGCCAGACTAGTGAACCAAGCGTAAAATACAAAACTGTTGCCTTCATGGAGCTTACCTTCTAACACAGAGACAGGCAAGAAATGAGTAAACCCTAAAACAGTACCTAAGAAGAAGTGTGTGGTGGAGGAGCAGAGGTGGCTACTCCAGAAAGGTCTCCCTGAGAAGGGGCCATTCAGCAGAGACCTGAGGTAGACTGCACAGGGCTCTGCTGGCAATTGTGAGGACTAAGGCTTTCCTCCCAGTGCAGTAAGAAATTGCCAGATGTCTAGTAGTGAAGTGGCCCGATGGGATTCAAGCTGTAACAAGCTTACACCACTGCCCTCTGTAGTGGTGTAAGGGGCAGATTACAACCATGAAGGTGGTGAGAAGAGGCCAAATTCTGAAGGTGGAACTGACAGTACTTGTGGAAGACTTGGATGGGGAACATGGGAGAAACTACAAAGTGCTGGCCTGAGCAACTGAAAGGAGAAGTTGCTACTTAATGAGATGAATTTAAGGACTAAAAGGCACCTGAACCAAGCCATGATATTTTCAATAGTCACATATGCATGTGAAAGTTAGACAATGAATAATGAAGAGCATGGGAGAATTATTTTATGTTAAGGTGTTGGAGAAAAATATTTAAAATGCCCTGGACTGCAAGAAGAACAAGTCAATCTGTTAGAAGAAATACATCCAGCTGAGAAGACAGGATGGCCAGACTTCATCTCTCACACTTAGACATATTATCACGAGGAACCAACCCCTGGAAAAGGACACCATGCTTGGTAAAGTGAAAGGTCAGAGAAAAAGGAATAACCCCAATGAGATGGGCTGGCACAGTGGCAGCAGCGTATCAATAATTATGAAGATGGTGCAGGACTGGGCAATGCATAGGGTAGCTTTGAGTCAGAGTCCACTAGATGGCACCTAACAACAACAACCATAGAAGATACAAGTTTAGAGAAGATCAGAAAGTTTCATTTTGGACTTAAATTCTAGGTACTTATTGGATATTCAAGTATAGAAGTCAAATAGAGTTAGATATACACTTATGGATTAAAGGGGTGAACTCTGAGCTATGGAGGTACAACAAATCATATGTAAATTGAGATTCACAAGGGAATAACTAACTTGAAAAAGAAGAGGTCTGTGGACCGAATCCTACATTTAAGAGGTTTCAAACTGACAGAATTCAATGTTTACATGGAGTGGAGAAGAGGAGATAGCAATTGAGAGAAGGGCAGCCAGTGGTCAACGAGGAAAGCCAGGAAAGTTTCCTATGGCCTGAAATGGACCCATTTACTAATAGTTAATTGCCACCAAGAGGTCTTTTCCCCCTTTGCTCACTTCTAGCTTTATGGCATTTATAGGATCAAGAATGCCTTTAAACTGACTCCTGAGTAAATTAGGTTTTCAATATGCCTCAGTTAGCACTCCTAAAGATAACAACCTATTAATGGATTTGTTAACATTAGCAATGTACTGTAGTCTCTTTTATGCATTTAGAAATGAGATCACTAATATATTACTAATAAAATTTAACTTTAGTAGCCCAAGTCAAGAAATTTCCTTTGCAAAATTTGTTGTTGTTGTTGTTGTTGTTGTTGTTAACTGCCGTGGAGTCAGTTCCGACCCATAGCGACCCTGTACAGGGTTTCCGAGGCTGTAAATCTTTACTGGAGTAGAAAGCCTCATCTTTCTCCCCGCGGAGCGGCTGGTAGTTTCGAGCCGCTGACCTTAAGGTTTGCAGCCCGATTCGTAACCACTACGCTACCAGAGCTCCTGGATTGTTGTTAGGTACCGTCAAACAGCTTCCAACTCATAGCAACCCTCTGCATGACAGAACAAAACACTGCCCAATCCTGTGCCATCCTCACAACTGTTGTTATGCTTGAGCCCAATGCTGTTGCCACGGTACCAATCCATCTCGTGGGGGTCTTCCTCTTCGTCACTTCATCCACTTTACTATGCATGATGTCCTCTAGGGACTCTTCTCTCCTGAAAATATGTCTAAGGAGGATTCTGACTGTACTTCTTCCACACAGATTTGTTTTTGTTTCTGGCAGTCCATGATCCTTTCAACCTTCATCACCAACACCATAATTCAGTGCTCCTATGCTATTCCTTATTCACCGTTCAATTTTCACATGCATATAAAGTGACTGAAAATACTATGGCTTGGGTCAGGCACACCTTAGTCCTCAAACTGACATCTTTGCTCTTTAACATTTCAAAGAGGTCTTTTGCAGCAGATGTACCTTACAAAATTATTTTATTTACACACACATACATACATATGCAAGGATATATCAAAAAATATTGCCACAAAATCATATGAAATTTTATTAAACAAAAATATCAAATGGTGAAGCTATTGCCTCTAGACATCTTCTCCATCTAGGTCTACACACTACAGAGGGTAGTGTTTCCATTTCTAACCGTTCCTCACAAAGAATTCTGCACTTTTCAATTGATACCATTTCAAAACGGCAGCTTGAGAGACTCCTATCGTGTTCTTTTTAAATGTTCTTTGAGTTTGGAGAAGAAAAAGAAACCGAAGACACAAGATCAAGGCTGAAGGATTATAAGGTTTCCCAACGAAGTTCTTGAAGGACAGTCCTTACTACTCTCAAAGAATGAACAGGTGTATTGTCCTAATGGAAAACAATTCCTTGGAGTAACTTACCTGGCCTTTTCCTCACCTAGGCAGCTCTCAATTTTCTTAAAACTTTCTCCTAATAAGCCTCTGTGATCATCTTGTGTACTTCGAGGAAATCTATCAAAATTCTTCTGAATCCCAAAACAGAGTTGCCATAACTTTCTCTGCCTTGAAGTGAACTTGCCCAGCAGATCCCCTTGGAAGTCACTGTTTTGATTGGCCCTTAATGCACTTTAATGAGACTAAGACAAGGGTACTACTGAGAGAATTTGTCTGCAGCCCTCCATGGAAAACAGAGACATATTTAAATACATTTTGAAAGGATAAATCTGTGTATGTATCAACTGATACAATAGTAGCATCTTTTACTTACCTTCATGTATATAGATATGTGAAATTGCCACCAAGTATAGAGTGGGAGGCCACTAGAAACCAGTCTTAAACCTCACCCTTCTCTAAATGCACAAACACAACACTTGTTCATATCCTCATTGACTCTCACCACTGCCTAGAGTCACTTATTTATTCATTCTAGTCCCTCCCCCACAACACTGTAGCTAAGAGTTACCCAGGAAATGGGAATTTTGATGGGGAAGGGAGTGAACAGGGAAGATAGCAGATAATTTTGGAACAAACTGTATCTTAGGGAGAGAACAAGCCAGAATGAGGACAGAGTGGGAGTGCTTAGAACAGCATGAAAACATTGGGTTCCAGCAGAGTTCCTCCACGAGATGCAGAAGATGTCAAAGAAAGCAAAACGGGAGAAGCCTGTTCCAACATCTATTTCTAAATTTTGTGTGGGACAGACCCGGGGCCCAGAAAGGAAAGATGTTATGTTATCCTTCCACTTGATGCCAGAGCCCAGCTAATAGCAGAGTTCTAGGATTTGGCTGTTGTGGCATTGCAGGAGAATGTGCTGGACCACAAGGTTGATCGTGAACTGCAAGGTCAGAGGTTCAAACCCACCAGCTGCTTCTCAGAAACCATATAGAGTCGCTATGAGTTGGAATCGACTGAACAACACTTAACACCAAGGGTTTGGCTACCTTAAGACAAAAACAACTCTTCTGTATTCATCTAGGGATAAAACCACCATTTCTCCCAATACTTATAGGATGAATGGTGGTGGTGGTAGTTGTGGTACACCTTGGAGTCAGTTCTGACTCATAGCAACCCTGCACAGGGTTTCCGAGCAGTAAATCTTTGCAGGGGCAGAAAACCTCATCTTTCACCTGCAGAACGGCTGGTAATTTCGAACTGCTGACCTTGAGGTTAGTAGTCCGACTCACAACCACTCTGCTACCAGAGCTCCTTCCTTATAGGATGAATAACTTCCTAAAAAGTTTCAAACTATATCCCTAGTCTTTCTTCCCAATTGCCTTCCATACCATCCGAACTCCCATTGAACTGACTCCTTGCTATTGTTCATGCTTGCTGCTTCCAACCCTATGCTTTTACCCTTCATCCTCTAGAAATGTCCTCTTCCTTGACTTTGGATAGCTAAGTTCAAATGCTACCTCTTCACGAAGCACCCCCACCAATCCCTCCAGGCAGTTACAATGCCAACCCTGAGACTACTCTATCTCTCTTATCCTTGCAGCTTTGACCCCTTCCAACATCTGTCTTAGAGTTAGTATATACAAGTCCTGTATCTCCTGCTAGAATGAAAGCCTCTGGGGATGATGTGGGGGAGGGAGGCATGAATGGCTCACTTTCTATCATATACATGGATTTTTGGTTATGGAAAAACATGCTTCATTAACTACAGAAATAAGACCCCTCAAAAAGCATGCATGAAGGTCTTTTTCACTGTAACTATTATTTTACTAATCAATGTGATTCTTCATCCTAATCCTGTGATGACAGTGAAGGTTCTGATCTGCAGTCTGTCTCTGAAAACATTCGTATGGTTCAGCGATATTGCTGAGCGCTGGGGGATAAAGCTGGACCTCAAGGTCGATTCCAACTGTAAGGTCAGCAGTTCAAACTCACCAGCTCCTCTTGGAAACTCTATACAAGGACACTAGGAGTTGGAACCAACTCGATGGTACTTAACAACATCATCATACTTTGATCACAAACTTACCTCATTTGCTAAGGCAAAAGTTCCCCAGTGAATTGCCACCGAATTCTTTGCTTGAACATCAATATGAATCCTTACAGCTTCTTCTGGATCAACATGCTGGTATTTCATAATCCACCTGATAAAACATAGCAATTTATTAATTATTAACGGCCTTAGAAATACACTCTTAATTTTAATTACTGCTCATTCTAATCATCCTTTACATTTCTGCACAGGAATAAATCTTAGCAGGTAAAAATCCATGTTCCTGAGTCCTTATTTCTGCTGGGAAAAATACAGCAAGCAAAACTCTCTTGTACAAACTGCTGTAACCAAAAACAAACAAACAAACAAACCCATTGCCATCAAGCCAATTCTGACTCACAGTAACCTTATAGGAGTAGAACAGCCCCATAGGGTTCCTAAGACCATAAAATCTTTACAGAAGCAGACTGCTACATCGTCTCTTACAGAGCAACTGGTGGGTTTGAATCACTGGCCTTTTGATTAGCAGCCTAATGCTGTAACTACTGTGTCACCAAGGCTCCTAATAGGTAAATTTGAAGCAAACCTTTCATCTATATAAGATTTTGTTACACGAACATTTTATTTTGTTATTGGCACTTAACAACATCATCATAAACAGCTACTTATGTTTTCAAAAGTAGATTATTTGTGATCCTAGGTATGGATCAATGTAAAGAACTGGGAGCCAGAACTCTTAACTGCAACAGAACCTGAATAAGCTGCTGAAACAAATTGTTTTTAAATGGCTAAAGCAAAAAGCAAACAAAAATTGAGGTATAATATTCAAAGACTGGGAGCAAAAAATCCAATGGTTATTCAAGGGGTTTTATTTCAACGTCATGAAACTAAATACTGAGTTGTTTGGTTTGGCAAGAACAGAAAGTACAAGGGGTAATAATGAGGAACGATATCAACAGATGCTTTAGAGACACCGAAAGGCCACCTTGAAAAGAACACGGCTCTGGAGGCAGAGGGTCTGCGTGTGAACTCTGCTCTACAGGTTTTTGGCTTTGGAAAGTCCCTTCAAATTCTCTGAGCTTTAGTTTCCTTGTTTGTAAAGCACAAATTGTACTCCCTTCATAAGTCCATTGTGAAGACTAACAAGACAAATTATCAAAGTATCAGGCACAGTATCTATTTCATAGATTTCTTACAAAAGAGTAATGATTTGCCCAAACCAGCACTTTCAGAATTATTTTCTCTGACACAAAGGAAAAATGTTCTGTCTATAAGCAAATGCATTGCTTTCCAAGCCATCAGTATGTTGCTGTTGTTGTTGTTAAGTGCTGTTGAGTCAGTTCTGACTCATAGCAACCCTGTATAGGGTTTCCAAGGAGTAGCTGTTGAGTTTGAACCGCTGATCTTGTGGTTCAAACCAACCTTGCAATCCAGTGCTTATCCTACAGTGGAGGAAAAACAACACAATCTTAGGGCTTCACATTATTTCTATCCCCAGCCCACTACAGCCTGCTACTGCAGACGAATGCTACAGTTAAAACTAATAGATATGGTTTCAGACGACTGCTTCTGCACTTTATAGAATGCATTATGGAAAGTTCATCAATCTACAGCACCTAAGGGGTTGTAATGAACTATTAGGAGGAGCTAGGTCCTAGGGGACCCCTAAAACCAAACCATTGTATTTGATCTTTGTATTAGATCTGTTGAGAAGCACTGTTCTGCCACATCTCCTAGCACTGAGAATTCAGGGCAAGATGAAATGAAAATTTGTAGTGTTAAAAATGTACATCAAAGGAGGTGGCCAGGAGCAGACTTGCAGAATGTGAACTTTGGAGATGTAAATTATTATATATGCCTGAGTGGGTTTTTTTTGTTTGTGTGTTTTTTAAAAAGCTAAAGTGGATAGAGAGAAATACTTTTCACTGATGGTATATGGAGGGGATTATAACCAATGTAATGAAACAAGTTATATGAATTGTTGAATGTGAAACTGATGATGTGCCCTGTAAACTTTCACTCAATCCAATAAAAACCTTAAATTAAAAAAATATATATACATCAAAGGAATAGACACATTCTTTTCTACCTTCAAGTCTACTTGAAGTAAATTTTAAATATTTACTCTGGTATAGAAATTAAAATAAAAACTTAAAATCATAACTGCCTTGGGTAGACTCTCCAGTGATAGGTAAGGTAAAGCTTCATCATTCCATACATACCATGGAAAGCGGTTTTAGGTGTAATCATATTACATTTATATGATACTTTGAAGTTTTGTTGAATGGGTAACCTTATTTCTAACACTGTCAGTATGGACCAGAGCCAAGGCATCACATAATGGAGACAACCATGACTTATTTCCCATAGAGCAAATAATGTCCTTCCTGTGATTCTACCCAATGGCTGCTGGGAAAGCAGGGAAGGGTAATTATGTGAGCAGGTCTGCTGTGGTCTGGCTACACAAGTTATTATCAATTCTTATTACGTCACAGACTATTACATATTACTTATGAAAACTTGTTTTCTAATCACAAATAAGTTATTCTAACATATTATGAACATACACTGAGTAAAGTCCAACACCATATGAAATTGATTTTTAACAGTTCAAAACATATATATACAAGTTGACAGATGTTTTAGAGCTTTCATTAGAATTTTAATTATTTGATTGGAAAAGTAAAACGCAAGCAGCACTACTAGTTTATGATAAATTTAGTAATTATTAGAAATCGAGGAAATGAAAAAATATTTAGCACCCAAAATAAGAAAACCAGGCATTAATAAGGAGAAATAGATATTAATAAAGTTAGTGAAGAAATTATTTTGGTGAACATTTTAGAAAGTTAACATTTAAGCAACTATGACAAAATTAGATATTAGATGAAGTTTGTTCAATTCATCTACGTATTAGAGAAACACGTGTTCTTCTGTTTATACGACTGGTCACATAGACTGGTGGAACCCCTGAGTCACCTTTCAGGTCTGGAAATTAACTCAATTTTCAGTGAAAATACAGAAAGGTCTAGAAAGGGGAAGAACTGACATGAAAGCACTTAACAACAGCAACAAGGGTGTAAATAACGCAAAGGGGGTATGCACACCTTGGAATAATTAAGCATTTGAGATCAGACTGGCAGCATTCACCTAAGGACAAAGTTCAGAAAGTTAGGAAAGGTGGAACGGAAGCAGGAAACACAGGGAGGAAGAGCAGTAAGTGGTGTTTCATTGTGGGAATTGTAATCAATGAGAAGAATCAAAATGTATAAGCATTGTTGTATGTAACACCGATCACCTGCTCTGTAACCCTTGACCCAATTCCCTGACTCTGACATACGGTGTAGCCCCATGCGTGTCAGAGCACAGCTGTGCTTCATACGGTTTCCAAACGGCTGGTTTTTTAGAAGTACATTGCCAGGCTTTTCTTGAACGGTACCTTTGGATGGACTTGAACTGCCAACCTTCTGACCAGCAGCAAAACACATTAAGCATTTGCATGATCGAAGGGTTGCCTAAATAAAATGCATGTGTATACATCTGTGTATACAAATATTAAATAAAATTTGTATACAAATATTTTTAAAAGTATATTAAAATTTGTATACAATTAAATAAAAGTATATTAAAAATTTTTATACAAATATTAAAAAAATATTTTTAGAATTCTGTATATAAGAATAAAGTTTTTTTTTTCATTATTCCTTAATTACTCTCAGTGTTTATTTCCTCTTTACCTATATCTATAAATCAGAGTTGACTGAACTCTAACTGAATTCTTTGAAATCTCTTCTTTTCCATAAGTATACAGCATTAAGGAGCTCTGGTAGTGTAGTGGTTATGCATTGGGCTGCTAACCTCAAGGTCAGCAGTTCGAAACTACCAGCTGCTTCATGGGAGAAAGAGGAGGCTTTCTGCTCCCATAAAGATTTACAGCCTCGGAAACCCTGTACAGGGTCGCTATGAGTCAGAATCGACTCCATGGCCCACCACCACCATACAGCATTAGGAAAAATACAGAGCTGTGGACAGGCCTCTTAGGTTTCAAATAAAAATGTGACCTCGTGTTGTCCCGATGACAGGTGGTGAGTATGTAGAGGTCAGGGTGGAATAGAGTGGGGAGTAATGCAAGAATGAGCTGAGAGAACAGGAGAAGTCACGGGAAAGGCGAATCCCATGGTAGGTCAGGAATGCTGCCGGGCCAGAGCCAGGAGAGCATCCTCACTGTGAAAGGAGGAGCCAGAGGCAGACGTGAGTGCTAACTGCTCACAAGCTAACTATATTCAAAATGGGATGGGAACTTGACAACTTACAGCAATTCTTTAAACCTTGGTGCTTTTTCATTGATAATATCATTTCTGATTTTGACTAATTATTTAGCTTAAATTAAATGAAACTGGCTCACCAACTCCCAACCAAAGAATAGCAAGTTCCATCATTAACATCATAAATCACAGGTAATGCAAAATCATAACTATCGTTCAGTTGTTATGCAGTACAAATAATTGAAGTCAGCTTTCGCAAGTCTACATACCTTGGTTCATATGCTCCAATAGGAATAGCTGCAAGGTCAAAAGGCCCAAATCTTTTACCTATCTCTTCAAAGGCAGTACAATAGCCAGTATCTCCTGCAAAAAAAAATCTATTCCATGGCCCCAACACAGACCAGCTGCCCCAGAGAACCTTATTGTCATCCATTAGGGTCCTCTTACACCAGTGTTGGGAAGGTGTAAAGACAAAGGTGACGTTATCGTGTCTGGGGACACAATTCTCCTCCCACCAGTCCAGCTCAATCACATCCTCACAGCCACACTTCTGCATCCAGTCGAGGAGACCCAAAGGCACAAACCACCTCAGCTCATTACCGAATCGCTCGTTGAGAGCAATGACCGAATTATAGTCCAGGTGGTCATAGTGGTTGTGACTGATTAGGACTGCATCTATTGGAGGGAGGTCACTAACTGTGCATGGAGGGTGACGAAAGCGCTTTGGACCCACACACTGTGACGGTGATGCACGATGGCTGAAGATGGGGTCGGTAAGAAAGATGAGCTCATCCATTTCCACCATTACCGTGGCGTGTCCCAGCCATGTGACTCTTATCCCAGCTTCCCTCACTCCAGCTCCTTCGGGGTTATCAATAAAATACGGCTTAAGCACGGGGAGTTCTTTATCAAGTTCCTGCGTATGAAGAAAAAGAAGCAGCAGCAGTTAGAGGGGATAAAAAAGGAATCATTTCATCAGAGAAGATATTTTGACCTAGATTATAGAGAAAAGGGCTATTTTGAGGGAAGTGAAGTCATTCAATAAGCTTGCTATTTTTTCTTTTGTCTTGAAAATACATCTATTTAAGTTCTTTCGAAACTTGACTTCATAATCATGATAATATAATAATGCAGGATAGTCATAGTCCCAAATGCTAAGTTTGGAGTCCTGGTGTGGCGCTGTGCTCTAATGTGCTGGACTGCAAAGTCGGTCTGAACCTTAAGGCCAGCGGTTCAAACTCACCAGCCATCCCGCTCCTTGGAAACTCTGTACAGGGTCGCTATGGGTTGGAACCAACTTGACGGCATCTAACAATAACAGCAAATGCTAAGTTTATTGAGACTTTTTTTTAAAGCAGTGATAGAAACAGACTGGCCTACATGCTGCCATTTTAGTCCACTGGTAAATTTGCTAATCAAAGCTCCCTCATATGCAGGTCAGCTCCAGGGAGGAAAGCTAGTGACCACTTGTTTGTAGACCTTGGATCTCGGACACGAATCTGACTTTCTGAGTGTATATAACTCAAATAAAGCACCGTGATGATTCCTGGCCTAAGAATCCATCATGGACGCTCCTCCTTGCTCCATCCCCTTACGATGGTCTACCAGCATCACAACAAAAGTAAAACACAGACCCTGCTTCCTAGAACTCGGTCACTTCTAGGGGGAAACATACAAAACAATAACTATGAAAAAATCTGGTACACAATCTTGCTTTGGTTATTTTAGATTTCATTCTGGGATCAAGCCAAATGTCAAAATAAAACCTGCTGGCCTTCCACTGAGAGGTAAAAGCAGGTATCACTGCACAGAGGTCTCCTGTGGGAAGAGGTTTTATGAAATGTGTAGTGCAAGGGTGGGAGAGCTGCTGTTGAAGATCTGGCACCACCTCTCACTCACCCCAGAAACATTTCTTGCAATTCTCTGTAGCAGGAAAGGTTGGTCATCCCCCAGAGGAATCACCTGAGAATCACTGGGCAAATTCTAACAGTTCATGTTTCCCTTTTTCCTTTGCTTTTAGAATCCATGGGTAGTACAGATGGCTAAGTGCTCAACTGCTAACTGAACAGTGACAGTTCAAACCCACTCATCAGAAGAGCCTCAAAAGAAAGGCCTCATGATCTGCTTCCACAAGGTAACCACCTTGAAAACGTTACAGAGCAGTGCTATTGGAGTCCTGGATCACAAAGTCAGCTTGAACAACAAGGTCAGTGGTTGAAACTCACCAGCCACTCCTGGGAAACCCTGTACAGGGTCGTCCAACAGCACTTAACAACAACATTCTGACACATGTCTCAGAATCAACTTCACAGCAATTGGTAACTGCTAAGGAAGTTCAGAACAAAAGCTGAGACCACTTCAGCAATGTGTGGCTACTAAAAGAATGTATTTCTGTACTTACTTTATTCTTGGCTTTATTTTACTTTTCTACCCTAATATTCGATCTCAAAAAGTCTGTCAGTTTGTTGTAGTGTGGTGGCTAAGGATTAGTGAGCTGAAAAGAACAGGTACTGGCCATTATGAACTAGAAAATCATATGGTGTACTATGCTGGAAACAGCAAATTGAAGATGAATATGGCATCTCATTTGTCAACACACACACACAAAAAAAAACATTTTAAGATCTACCTTGAAATACAATGATGTTTGTGACAGAAATACAATGATGTTTGTGACAGGATAATATTTTACACCTACAAGAAGACCAGTTAATACAACTATTATTCAAATTTATGCACCGACCTCAAAGCCAGTGATGAAGAAACTAAAGAATTCTACCAACTTCTTCAGTCTCAAATGGATCAAACATGCAATCAATATACATTGATAATTACTGCTGATTGGAATGTGACAGCTGGAACCAAAGAGGAAGGCTCGGTCATTGGAAAGCATGGCCTTGGTGAAATAAATGACACTGGAGATAGCATGATAGAATTCTGCATGACCCATGACTTAGTCATTGCAAATACCTTTTTTTTTTTTTTTTTGACAACAATATAAACAGTGGCTATACACATGGAGCTGACCAGATGATATATACAGGAATCAAATTGCCTACATCTGTGGGAAATGACTATGGACAAGTTTACTATCATCAGCCACAACAAGGCCAGGAGCAGACTGGAACAGACCATCAATTGTTCATATGCAAGTTTAATCTGACGCTGAAGACTATTACGGCAAGTTCACAAAAACAAAAATAACAACCTTGAGTATATCCCACCTGAATTACAGACCATCTCAGGAACAGCTTTGAGGCACTGAACACGAATGACTGAAGGCCAGATGAGTTGTGGGATGACATTAAGAACATCATACAGGAAGAAAGCAAAAAGCTATTAAAAAGACGAGAAAGAAAAGAGCAATATGGCTATCAGAAGAAACTCTGAAACTTGCTCTTAAACACAGAGCAAATGGGAAAAAATGATGAAGTTAAAGGGCTAAACAGAAAACTTCAAAGTACAGCTCAAGAAGCCAAAGTAAAGTATTATAATAAAATACTAAAGACCTGGGGTTAGAAAATCAAAATGGAAGAAGACACTCAGCATTTCTCAAACTGAAAAAAAACTGAAGAAACACAATCCTCGATTTGCAATATCAAAGGATTCTATGAACAAAATATTGAATGACGCAGGAACTATCAAAAAATGATAGAAGAAATATACAGAGTCACTGTACCAAAAATAATTGGTAGATGTACAGACATTTTTAAAGACAGTATATGATCAAGAACTGTCAGTATTGAAGAAAGAAGTCCAAGCTACATTGCAGGTATTAGCGAAAATCAAGACTCCAAGAACTTATGGGCTATAAACTGAAATGCTTCAACAAATTGATGGAGTGCTGGAGTACTCACTGTTCTATGCCAGTACATTTGAAAGAGAGCTACCTAGCCAACCAACTGGAAGAGATCCATATTTGTGCCCATTCCAAAAAAAAAAAAGGTGACCCCACAGAATGTGGTTTGCTGAAGAAGTTTTAAAAAATGACTGCAGTAACACATCAACTGAGAACTGCCAAAAATTCAAGCTGGATTCAGATGAGGATGTGGAACAACGACTATCACTGTGGATGTCAGATGGATTTTGGAGGAAAGCAGAGAATACAAGAAAGATGTTTACCTGTGTTTTATTGACTATGCAAAGGCATTCAACTGTGTAGATTGTAACCAACTATGAATAACATTGTGGAGAATGGGAATCCCCGAACATTTAAGCAAAAGTTGTACATAAACCAAGATGCAGTCATTTGAGCAGAACAAGGGGATACAGAATGGTTTAAAATCAGGAAAGATGTATCAGGATTGCATCCATTCACCATATTTACTCAATCTGTACACTGAGCAAATAATCCAAGAAACTGGATTATACGAAAAGCGTGCCATCAGAATTGGAGGAAGACATTAACAACTTGGGATATGCTTATTGAAAGGAGAGAGGACTTGAAGCATATGCTAATGATGATCAAATATTACAGCCTTCAGTATGGATTACACCTCAACACAAAGAAAACAAAAATTCTCACAACTCGACCAATAGGCAACATCATGATGAATGAAGAAAAGACTACAGTTGTCAAGGATTTCCTTTACTTGGATCCACAATCAATGCTCATGGAAGTAGCAGTCAAGAAACCAAACAATATATTGCATTGGGAAAACCTGATGTGCAAGACCTTTTCAAAGTGTTGAAGAGCAAAGAAGTCACTTTGAGGACTGAGGTGACCCAAACCATGGTACTTTCAATCACCTCATTTACATGTGAAGTAGACAATGTAATGAGAAACTTCAAAGAAAAACTGAGGCATTTGGAATATGGTGTTGATGAAGAATATAAGGAATTCTGGACTGCCAGTAGAACAAATCTGTTTTGGAAAAAGTACAATCAGAATTATCCTTAGACACCAGGAAGGGAAGACTGCATCTCAGATACTTCGTACATGTATCAGAAGAGACCAGTGTCTGGAAAAAGATATTATACTTGATAAAGTAGCGGGTCAGTGAGGAAGAGGAAGACGCCCAATGAGATGAACCAACACAGCGGCTACAACAATGGGCTGAGACATAGTAACAATTGCAAGGACGGTGAGGGATCCGGGCAGTGTTTCCTTCTGCTGTACACGCGGTTGAAGACAACTCAATAGCACCTAACAACAACAACAATATCCCATCTGCTTTTTTTGCTCATCCATTTAATTTTATGCTGACACCTGTACTTTCAATTGAATGCAAATTTTGGGAAAGGTATGGTGTTGGAGAGTAAATAAAATTTAAGGCATAGTTTAGTCAACAAAGGATTAAACAACCTCTTGCACAATGACTTGGGAGTTCTTGAATAATGAGAAAGTCATGAGGCAGGGTTTCTTATGGGGATAATGAAAATGTTATTAAGTTAGATTGTGTTGACAGTTACACAACTCTGTGAAAATATTAAAACCCTCTGAATTATACAAGTTAAATGGGTCAATTTTATGGTATACAACTTGGCATCTATAAAGTAGCTCAAAAAAGAAAAAAGAAAGAAAAACTGCTGAGAATAGATCTGGATTGAGTTGTCACACTGGTTTTTCTTCTTGCTGTATTGTTTTGATGCCCACCATAAACAGCAACTTATTTTCAAAGAATTTGACCTCGACCACTACTGACCCATAAAACACAAAGTACTGGACTTTACAACTGAACTCTCCAGAACAAAAATTCATTTTTTTCACATTATATCCTAATCACCAGAGTTTGAAAAAGCAGTGGAGAAGGAGGACACAGTTATTTATTTCAGGGAATTCAAGCATTCACTTGGCATTTCTTATCTAGATCATGATCTTCTTACTGGTCTTCTTTTTTGAAAACTGCCAAAAGGGAAAATCCCAAGGCCCCTAATTAACCAGTACACTGGCTAATGTTTTAACTTCTCTTGGACACAGGGAAAAGTCTAACACTCATTGCACCACTGCTTTTTAAGTGCATTGTGTCAACTAATGCTGTAGAGCAGATACGACCGCCATTTGCAGATACACAGATCAAGGAACCAAGGGATCTCTGAGATTTGCCAACGTCATATATATAAGTAAGTAGCCCACCAGGAATGGAGTCTAGGACTTCTTGACTCTAAAGTGCCTATCTTTTTATGAAACCATAATTCTCTCTATAGCATGTTGTTTTTAAGTGCCGTCAAGTAGGTTCTGACTCATAGTGAATCCGTTTAGGGTTTCCAAGGAGTGGCTGGTGAGTTTGAACTGTCGACCTTGTGGTTCAAACCAATCTTGCAGTCCAGCGCTTTATCCCACAGTGCCACACCAGGACTCCTTCCATAGCATTGTTGTTGTCAAGTGCCGTGGAGTTGATTCTGACCCATAGCGACCCTGTATAGGGTTTCCAAGGAGCAGCTGGTGAGCTTGAATCACTGACCTTGCAGTTCAAACAGCTTTGCAGTCTGTCGCATTAACCCACAGCATAAGTGATATTAATTTATATTAAAAATAAACAATTAAAATCATATTCTTCAACTGTCCCTTTGCCATGAGACTAGAATTAGATGGTGCCCAGCTCTCACTGAATGTTTTGACAAAACAGTCTAAAGAGGAATCCTGATCAAAAGAAGGGAATGTAGAACAGAATTTCAAATTCTTCTGAAATCCAGATTTTCTGGATCCAACGAAAGTAGAAGAACCCCGAAACTACTGCCCTGAGATAATCTTTAAACCTTAAACCAAAACATCCCATGAAATCTTCTTAAAATCCTGTATTGGGTTTCAGAGAGGCAGCTGGTAAGTTTGAACCACCAACCTTGGGGTTCAAACCAACCTTGAGGTCCAGTGTTGGCAGTTCAAGCCCACCAGCTGCTCCTCAGAAGCCCTATACAGGGTTGCTATTAGTCGGAATCAACTCAATGGAACCTAACAACAACAATGGGCTTAGGAGCTTTGGTCACATTATAGCATAAGCACTGGACTACTAACTATAGGGATGACAGTTCAAACTTATCAGTCACTCACTCCACTGGAAACAGATGAGGCTCGGAAGTCCTACTAGGATCGCCATGAGTAGGAACTGACTAGACAAATCGTCACAACAACAAGTATGTTGTTGTTGTTGTTAAGTGTCATCAAGTCGGTTCCGACCCATAGCGACCCTGGATAGGGTTTCAGAGGAGCGGTTGGTGAGCTTAAACCACCAACCTTGCAATTCAAACGGTTTTGCAGTCTGGCACATTTACCCCCAATGCCACACCAGGACTCCTACAGTATAAAATAATACATGGTTCATTTGAGAGTCATAATAAATAAAACACTCAAAAAAGTAAACACTACCTCCTTGGAACAAGGAATACTGCTGTGATCTTTTTCCATTATCAGCCACCTGAGAGCATTTGAAATAGAAGGATTTTTCCATGTTGGCCAAGGATTAACAAATCTCCCATCTTTTCCTCTCTTTGATTTAGTTACATCTTCCTCTAATCTGTAATCCAGTTTGAAGCTTTTTCTGGGAAATCTAGAATCATTTCCTCTAGAATTCCGTGCTGAATTTTGGCGCTTTCTTATTACTTCTTTAGGATATTGGCTGCTTGTCATCAGGAACTGATTGCTTTCATTATCATCCATGTTCTTTGGCAAAGAGCTAAAAAAGGAAGGGAAAAAACACTGAGTTTAATGAAAAGCATTAAGCACACTGTTGTTAGATGCTGTCAAGTCGATTCTAACTCACAGCAACCCCATGTGATGGACTTGTTGTTGTTAAGTGCTGTCCAGTCAATTCTGACTCACAGTGACCCTGTATAAGGTTCTCATGGAGTGGCTGGTGAGTTTGAACCACCGACTCTTCAGTTAGCAATCCAGTGCTTACCCTACAGTACAGACTCCTGTGACAGAGTTGTTGTTAAGTGCCATCGAGTCAGTTCCGACCCATAGTGACCCTGTACAGGGTTTCCGAGGGTGTAAATCTTTACGGGAGTAGAAAGCCTCATCTTTCTCCCGTGGAGCAGCTGGTAGTTTCGAACCGCTGACCTTAAGGTTCGCAGCCCGATTCGTAACCATTATGCTTTATTTCCTAAACAATAAAAGTTTTCTCCAACCTTACAAAAATATGTCTCTATTAGCTAAACTTTCCCCCTAAAAAATAATATTTTATAATTCAGTATTAAAATCTGTTGCTGACCTTGCAGTTCAAACCAACCTTGTGGTCTAGTGTTTATCCTACAGTGCCACACCACAACTCCTGAATCCAGTATTACTGCTTGCTAAATAGAAAATATATCTACTTTCATTATTAGCATTACTGGAAAATCATTCAAAAATCACTTCTTATCTGCTACAATTTAAAGTAGTTTATTTGCCCAGCCAGTATTTAAACATATGACAGCTTTTGAATTTCCATGACACCCTGCGGAATAAATTAAACAACCTTCATGAATGTATATACCAGGTTCACAACTGAATTTTAAAACTATTATTAATAAAATAGTATGATATTGTTGCTGTTAAATGCCGCTGAGCCAATTCCGACCCATAGCGACCCAGTATAGGGTTTCCAAGAAGCAGCTGGTGAGCTTGAACCACCAAACTTACAGTCAAACAACTTTGCAGTCGGACACATTAGCCCACAGACCACATAAGGTATGATGTTGTTGTTGTTGTGAAGTGCTGTTGAGTCAGTTCTGACCCATAGCGACCCTGTATAGGGTTTCTGAGGAGCAGCTGGTGAGCTTGAACCACCAAACTTACAGTCAAACAACTTTGCAGTCGGACACATTAGCCCACAGACCACATAAGGTATGATGTTGTTGTTGTTGTGAAGTGCTGTTGAGTCAGTTCTGACCCATAGCGACCCTGTATAGGGTTTCTGAGGAGCAGCTGGTGAGCTTGAACTGCCAATCTTGCAGTTCAAACGGCTTTACAGTCTGGTGCATTAACCCACAGTGCCACACCAGGACTATGATGGAGTACCTTATTTCCTTGAGGATACCTCAGGAATTCAAATGACCTACATATACCTCCACTGTGAAGTCAGTTCTGACTCATAGTGATCCGCAGAGCATTTCCAAGGACCGCCAACCTTGTAGTTAACAATTCAGTGCTTATGCTACAGCACCAAACCAAGATTCCATAACCATACTAGGTCTAATCAAGTCTACATTGAAGATAATCCAGTACCAGTGTCCCTGAAAGTACAATCCGAGCAAATTTCAGAAAAGAAAATGTTATTGTCATCGAGTCAGTTCCAACTATTAGTGACACTGTACAAGATTTCTGAGGCTATAAATCTTTGTGGGAGCAGAAAGTCTCATCTTTTTCCTACAGAGCAGCTGGTGGACTTGAACAACCGATCTTATGGTTTGCAATACAGTGCTAATCCTACAGCGCTCCCAAAAAAGATATCTGTTGTTGTTGTTGTTAGTTGCCAGCAAGCCAGCACTGACTCATAGCAACCCTATGCACAACAGAACAAAACACTGCCTGGTCCTAGGCCAACTTCACAATTGTTGCCACACTTGAGCCCACGGATGCTGCCACTTTGCCACTCTATCTCAGTGGGGGTCTACCTCTTTTACTCTGACCCTCCACCTTACCAAGCATGATATCCTTCTTCGCGAATGGTCCCTCCTGACAATATGTCCAAAGTATGAGAGACGAAGTTTAGCCATCCAAGGAGAACTCTGGTTGCACTTCGTCCAACACAGAACTATTGGTTCTTTTGGTAGCCCGTGGCTCTTTCAATATTCTCCTCCAACACTATAACTCAAAAGCATCAATTCTTCTACAGTCTTCCTTATTCACTGTCCCAGCTTTCGTATGCATAGGAGGTTATTGAAAATACTATGGCTTG